TTGACGACGATGACCTGTGCGACCACGGCCCAAGAGCCCTTCCCGAGCTGTTGCGATCTGTCGAGAGTTGGGACACCTGATAGGACCTGCCAAGCAAAGGCATGGCATACAGAATCTACTATAGGTACCAGATTTTGTGAACCGGATCATGTTGGTGCATTCCGAAAAGACGACCTAAACGCCGCCCCAGCGTCGTTGCAGGGCGAGTTCCGCACGATGTACTCAGCCACATCCTGGGCAGGGCGAGCGTTTCCGTCTCGAACAGGGCGGTGGAGGTGGAGGTCAACGGTGCCACCCTGCGAATGGACCAGATGACGGCAGCGTGTTGACGGACATAGACTACGGAGGGGACCCATTTTCTGGTCGATGCTGGAAGGAATTCCGAAACACATGAGAAAACACTGAGAAGCCCTTTGGATGTCCAGTGACAAAATGGCATCGACTTCAGTGTGTCGGTGTGTAGCTTTGAAGGGAACTCCAGCTTTAGAGTTATCAATAGTTATCAAGCAAACGGCTCTGGAGAGCTTTGTTTGATCAAATATGGCCTAGTTTGCTCCCAAAGTGTAGCGTTTACCTCCCAATCCTCACTAGCCTTCGCAAGATGCATTGCTGATGAACATGCACTGCCAATTCTCAATCCCTGGCTGACATCAATATCTCAGAAGGTTCTTATATTCATATGTCTGAAACAAATCTGACTGCTTGTTCCATGTGCAGCCGTCCACATAAGTCGTCTACAGACCGACCAGTCCCAACTGAGGAGGCCTTCGATTCAGAAGCCGAGCGGCATACTGTTTGTGAGGATCCACCAATTTGGTCCTAGCGACAGAAATAACGCGCAAGGTCGGTGTGCTCTCGGAGATCTAGAACGGAACAAGAGGTATTGACAAATGAGGGCAGGCTTTTGGTCTTAACTAGACGAGAAGCTGAGAAGAGGGACTAATGACTCTTCTTGAGCTCTCTTTGCACTGCCAGCTTGGTATCCAAATAGTTGAAACATTCATAGTTCATCACCATGCATGAAACTGCCTCAGATTCAAAGTCCTGGCAACCATACCCCAAACATCACCGGACCAGAACCCTTGGACCTTTGGAAGGTTTTTTGGGCCATCTCAGGAAAGTGACCCCCTTTTTCACCTGCCCTCTCATCTTGTTTTGTAGAAATGCCAAAGGCTTTGGAGCATTTCCGCCACCACCAGTTCTTCCCCCCCACCGGCAAAAGGCACCACTCGCGGCACGCGGAACGCAGCTCGCTGCTCCTGTGCCGCCGTTCGTTGTAGCCCACGTAGATCACGTTGGGCCGGCGGATTTGAGGGTCGAAAACGCCTGGGTGGGCGCATGGGTTTTCGGCGAGGAGGTTTTTTGTGATCTGCCAGTTATAGGTTTCAGCCTGCAATTCAGATGACATCGGTGAATATCAGTGATGACGTGCTTTTGGGGGTGAGTCACGTGGCACTGGAATGAAAGTAAACCTATAAATAGCGATCGTTCTTTGTCAGAAAGCTTTCATAGCTTGATGCCCCCTGAGTGTTCATGAGCACACACGCGGCGACTCGCGACCCTTTAAGGGTGGGCGCCCCAATCGCTTCGACGCACGAAGTCCCGTGCGTCTCACCATCCACCCTGCGGACGTTCCGTGTCTCCTTAGAAACGTAAGTTGACATGGATCTTCTTGATGACGACATCGATCAACGTTTCTCGAACTGTTTTGTGCTATTCTTGATTGCTTTGCAATTGATGATCCTTCCCTAACCCGGAACCGATCTCCGCCCCTCGTTCCTCCGATCCCTCGGTCGACCTCATCGATCGACGGTGGGATCGTCACGGACGCGGGCAGCGCGGGGATCGGCGCGCGCCTGCGATGGCATCTCCCACCAGCTGTTTGTGCGGCTCCGGCGTTTCAGCGCCAGTGAAGACTCGGAAACGGACGCCCTCCTGGTGTTTTCGTGACTCGGAAGGGGTTTGAAGACTCGGAAGGGGGGGTGTTTTGGGGGGTTCAGATCATGTTGGGTATGTTGATGGATTTTTGGACCCATCTTAGGCGGGTTCAGGAGTTTGGATGAGAGGTGAGGATAGGCCAGGAGCTTCTATTTTTGTCGGAAGAACTGCCGCGAGTTTCTCGTCGAATCATGTCAAGTGTGTGCCGAAATCAAGTCCTCAGGACAGCATTCACTATAGACCTCTTGAGGTTTGGACCTAGTTAGCACTCCTTGCCATGTTGCTGCGCCACACGCTGGCTGGACTCAATGACGCGCGTCAAGGTGCTGTCCATGATGACCTCGAGAACGCTTGCAGTTCTGGTATGTTTTCTTCATCAGCTCATCTTCCATGAGTTAGTTCTGCTTGCAAGTCCACTATATATAAACACTTATAAGTATACAGTAAGCATTAAGCTAAACTTAATGTTGCTTAGTATAGGTGACTGAGCATCTGATAGCAACCTCACGCCTGCCGCATCCGCCACTTCGAGCGTTTTGCCGCGCCACTCCCACTCCACTCCGCGCCACTCCGCGCCGCCCGAGCCCGAGCCAAAGCGGCGTTGAGGTTGTCGTCGCAGACGGAGGAGAAGTGGGCCTCGTAGACGGAGCCACCGATCTCCAAAAAGGGATTCACGGGATAGTGGATCGCCACCTGAGGCTGGAACTCACCCACGCACGAAAAGAACTAGTGAGCTCCAGAACTTCTCACATCCAAAAGATGGCAACTAAGAACACAACAAATGACATGAACGAACGATCATGCAATGAATTGATATAATATGATTATATGACCTTTCTTGGTGCTGAAGTGAAGACGAACACTTCTGATGCTGAGAGGTGTTCGCTTCAGCATGAAGCACTTCACACTACAACATCGCACCAGTTCGCTACGACACTTCGCCTATTCAAGGGGGAAAAACATCCTCCAACGAAGCAAACTCTCACAATGGTGTCCCGAAGCTTCATCTGCCGGACAAATGTTGAACAACCAGGACCCTGGAAGTCCTGAAAGTCAAAAGGTAACTTTGAAAGTCCTGGAAGTCATGAAAAATATGAAAAAAAAACAAAGATCCATATGCAGCTTATTGTGTGACTCCCAAAAGCAAACAGTCTTCCAAAGGTGACCGTAGCCAAGGAGAGCAAAGCACACTTGACCCTGAAACCTGACCATCTTGATCCAGCAAAAACAACCAAAGCACCCTTCACCCACTCAAAACAAACTTGAACAATTCTCCGAAACCCCTGCAGGTCCCCACATCCACCACCACTTCATCCACCCTCCTCCACCAAAACCAAGCGACAGCTCTTCGACACGTCGCGACGAGGTCGCTCTGCCGAGACGCCACGAGGTCGCCCGCTTGCGCATCGTCGAAGGCACGGACCAGCGCGGCCGCCGAGGCCTTCCTCGTGGCAACCCCGCGCGGAGCATCGCCGAGCGGAGCGGCGGGTTCTGGGGGACGAAACGGAGAGGTTTTGCCCAATGGGATCGATGAGGTTTTTGTCATGTGTTCATTTGGAGTGGAGACACGGAGCGATGAGGACCGGAAAACGAACGAGCGAACGACCTCAAGTCGACTTGACAGAGTCCCAAAATTGGCAAGAAATGTGAAAGATCATGTCAAGATTGTCAAGCCTATACTGAATTCTGATTAAGATTGATGAAGATGGATATTCAAAAAGGCCTTTGGAACAGTTTCTGTTGTTGCACTTTTGCTCGTCTCTCAAATCTCGAGATGCTTGAACTACATCGGCTGAAACATGCTGTTGCCTGCCGGTCGACCGTTCGCCTCTGGTACCAAGGCTCAAATTTCGGCTTGAGATGCCAACCCACCTAACAAAGGGGCTCGAACAAGTCGGCTGGTTGGGAGGATTGCATGAAAACAAAATCGCACCACTCCAAAAATAATAACACATGCCACACCCCAAAAAACACATGGTTTCTATATCCGATGCCCCTCAAGTTCCAAGGACAAATCTGGCCAGGGGCAGCAGAATAAACCAAAACATAAACATTGAACATTCATCGACCCATTCTTCCAGCCATTTGAGTGTCGACAGTAGTCATCTTGGAGGCCAAGATATCCAAACAGGTGATCCCTTGATAGGCACAGCACTAGGCACAGCGGCTTCCGGTGGGTGTCGTGAGAGCGCTGTGCTACCCCTTGGCCACGGATGGCCCCCTACTCAACACGAAGGACGGTGCATCCGGTGGATCCACCTCGGCCCGACGGATCTCCGGGGTCCCGAAGGGGGGGTGGCCCAACACCCAAAGCAGTCGGAATTCGGGGCTGGATTCTCTACATCGAAAAGAAATCCAGCCGGATCTTTGTTCGCCCAGTTTCGCAGGCAACTGACCAAGTCCTACCCATGAAATCATCGGCAAACAAAAACATCTCGGCAGGACTATCGTCCAGGTCGTCTCCCTGCCAAAAAAGGCCTGCAAAGTAAAAGTGAACTGATTGCGCCATGTTGCCTGCAAACCATGCTCTGTTGATCCGCTTTGATGATCCCCACATCGCAGGGAGCGTGCTGGACGATGTAGTCCTCAGCGTGCGTCAGGCGGAGGGCGCTGAGCGACGGAATTGGCACACCAAAACCCATGGTCCGAACTCGGAGGTTATAGAGTACAAGCTGTATAATACATTATAGACTATAGATTATAGATTCAACTGCCTACTGCAAGAAAAATAGCTTAATTCCTTACCATGACTTGTCCAAAGTTTGGACACTTCTCACTGTAAGAATATCTTATCCACTTCTCGCTGGCTCCTTGATGGAACATCTGAGGGCCTATGATGTGCTTTCGTGATCTTTCGTGTTCTTGCAATTTGGCCGCCTCCCGTTCTCAAACTGCGAACCAGCTCACGGTGAACTTGTGATAGTGCTGGACATGGTCGTAGCCAACATAGATCCTGCAGGTTTCAGATTCAGTTGCATCAAGAGCTGACTTCCGCAAACAAATGCAAACAATTGCATGCCTGATCCCCGCAACTCGATAACCCCTCCGCGGCCTGCGACCACTTTTCGTCATCCCCACATGGCCGCTTCTCACAAGTGTCCAGTGGGAGTGCTGCCTCCAAGTGGTCAGCATTTAAAAAAAAACATGTGCATGCAGTTTGTCTTCCAGCTGCCAGTTCCTAGCAGCTTGGAGACAAGACTAATGAGCCTAGTAAATCTGCAAGCTTGTAGCAAGCGCTCTCTGCAAATCTACATCGTCACTGCTGCCCCTCTGGAATGCCAAGCTGGCAGCAATCGCCTCCTGCACCTCTACATCTTCACCGCCATGCCCGTCCTCATCTTCGGTGTAGCTTCCAAGTTCGTGCAAACTGGCTGCAATGGCCCTCGCCACGTCCACATCTTCACTGCGTCTTTCACCAACCTCTTGCAAGCTCGCAGCGATGGCCCAGTCCACATCTTCATCCTCACTGCTTCTCTGCATGCTGGCGGCCATCGCCCTTTGAAAGCCTGCTTCTTCACTATCCTCGATTCCAAGGACCTGCATGTCTCCGGTCTGCAAGTGCTCATCCCTGGCCACGTTCACATCACGTCCGCGATCTCCTTCAGCTTCCGCTTCTGCCGCTGTTGACAGCGACCAAGCGGCCGCCTCAGCCACACCTGCCGGTCCTGAGCCTCTGGACGCGCTCGAACTCCCGAGCACACGTCCCTGAGGCTCCAGATTGGATAAGAACTCGGCCAAGGAGCCTCTATGCGCACGCGGCGCACGCAGGGACACCCGTGCATCTCGTAGCTCGAAGCGGATCAGGAAGCGATCCAGCCACTGTGATGACACCACGCCTCTGTGAACATAGTCTTGGAATTCATCCTCGGTTGATTGACCACAGGAAATGACACAAAAAAAACAGACCGAAACGATCCATAGTCGTTCAGTTCTCACCCTAATTTACCTTGAAACATATATATTATAATTGTGGTTTTCCCACTTGTTGAGTCTCATTGGAAATCACACATCCACGGCATCCGGGAGCTGCAGCCTCTTGCAGCACCACTTCATCCACATCCTGCCCGTTCTGTACGCAGCGCAAAGACACCTGGAGCCGACCATCTCCAAGGTCTCGCACGCCTCGAATGTCCAGCGCTTGCGCCAAGGAGATGGAGAACACCAGGATCACCTGAGACCAAACTCCCTGAGTGAACATCCCGAAAAAAGGAGCATTTCTATTATATATGTTTATTCAGTTCAACTACTGCGGAAGATTCCTGGGGTCAAATCGGTTTAAATCATCCAAAGATTTGAGCCCCAAACTCGCCTGAAGATTCATCTGCAGCTGCTGAGTGTCTGCCTGCAGCTGCAGAATGACCTGCCGAAGATTCTCTGAGCTCGGTCTTTCGCCAGACCGTGCCACGTTGGGCGCATCGACCACCACGCGTAGGGCCCCGTCCTCTACGGACGGTTGTGCACCGTAAGCACCGGCCCATAGAACTGCTGTTGGACGCAAACCGCCAGGTGTGTAGCGCACAAGGGACAGGCGCGAGAACTTGGCTTGACTGATGTAGTGGATCTTTAGGGTGTACCTCAGAAGCAAACCAAAGGCTCAAAAAGCAGAAAAAGATCCAGCGGTCAAACCGGTTCAAATCCCGGTTTGATTCAAGCTAGCTAAGGGGTGCAGGGGATCTCCTGGAGTAGCTCCCAACGGCTCCCTCTTTAACAAAGAATCTGTGCATGGATACATACCCCAGGCGACCCTCAGTTGCTCCTTCCTTCCTCCGGCTCGCAACAGCTAGCAATACGACATGAACTGATGCTTGAATCAGTTTGAATCAACCTGTCACATCCAGTCCAATCAAGCTGAGTTGCAATGGTCGACCTCTCCGAAACTTATTCCGGCCTGGTCCAGTCTGGTACTGCATCTCTCGACTGAGCCCAGGACGTGTGGCGATGGGAGCGTCGCCTGCTGACCACCATGCCTTCTTCTCCAAAGCTGACATGACCGGAGTGCAGGGATCTTCCAAACCTGCAAGCAACTGGGAAACTGTGGCTTTTGCATGTCAACAACATAAAAACAATCACAATTTTGTGAATGGCCGGTTTGTCGCTATAATTACTACATCTTCACCACACAACTTCGACCAAAGATCAAACATCAGTAGATCAAACACCATGCTAAACATCTCAGTAAACGTCGCAAGGTGGTGGATCTTCTGTTGAGTTCCTGGTTCAGTGTACGTTCTTCCTCGATCAACTCATAGAGATCAACTTCAATCCAGCCGTGCATGTCTTGCCCAGGATCTTCGCCCTCGATGGGAAGGCAAAAAGTGAACAGATTGTATTTTCTGCTCCGCTCCTCTGTACCATCTTCCAGCGGTGTGCGGGTGAATGAAGCTTCAAACCCATCAAGTGTCCTCGGTTTGTCGGGCCATAGTGGCACATGGTTGTCTTCGGATAGGAGAACACACTTACCATCCACTCGGGCGGTAGCAAGCAGTTTCTCGCAGGACGTCATTTGCAGGCCATACTCCTCCTCCTCCACACCTACCACGATGGGTACATCTGGCTCGTTTGGGTCATAAAACTTGGGCAAAACCGTGTTGCCAATCAGCACATCCAATGTGGGCGGTTGACATCTCGTCGGCGCAGTATGGCGGTTCGGGCGGCTCCGGCGAGACATGGCGCGTGACGCCGTGACGCGGTCGTGAAAGTGGGCGGACAAGAACGAGCGAAGTGCAGCCCTTCTGAAGCATTATGCCGCATAATATATTTGGCGTGGTGTGTTCGAATCCTTCCTGGTTGAACAATCTTGAACAATTTGTGCTCCTATGTCACGTGCAGTTCCGAGCTGCAAGAGGCTGTTCCAATCGCCTCCTGCTTCTCCCTCGAGCCGCTTGAGCTGCTCGACGGACGTTGCCTGTCCCCCGACAGCCATGGTCGAAAAGAAGGTGCCACAGGACTTTCAGGTTGGATCAATATACGGAACGAGAGGGGCCAAAACCTTCTCGTGTGGATGGGTTCGACAAAACATGTTGAAACGACACCTACCTATAGTGGTTTCATGTTGTTTTCTGACGAAACAGCTCGACCTCCATCAATTTGGGCACCCTCTTTTCGTGTCAAAAAAAGGTCTATGTCACTATGTCTATAAGGTTCCAACGAGAATCAACCTCAACAAGATGATTCTTCGATGAACTCCACTCATCGCAGCCTTTTTAGGCTATATACATGGACATATTTCGAGCTCCACGCCCCTCGAATTGTATACACATAACATCACCCCAACAAAAAACACCGTGGAGCTCCACCCATCTGCATCCTTCCCCATCCCCATCTGAAATCCAGCGTCCTCCAGGGCCTCAAAGCACGGTACGAAAACGGACCCGACTGGCTGGCCATGTCTCAGTGTCGAAGACCGATGTCACCGTAGAAGGTACGACTATAGATATCCCTATATAGCGATTCGTCAATGAAATGAGAGAGAGAGAGAGGGATCTGCCACCCCATACCCCCAAACTATCAAATACAATCCCACCAACGAGGAACGTACGGTTCAAGTCTCTGTACGGTGCATGCCCTCGGGTGGAAGGGCCCAGCTCAGCCCCGAGAGTCGGATGTCTCAGCTCAGACCGACTCCATCTGACCGGGTACTCTGATTGGTTTGTTGAAGAAAGAATGCTATAGGACCTGACATAAGGTTTGAACGCTGAACAAGCTCTGGCACCGTGATTTCCCAAGAGAAGGGTGCAGTTGAAGGAGTCCATGGGGGGGTAGTTCTCTTCACCAAATGCGACTGGCTATGCCACTAGAGGTAAACTCCCTGCACCACCTGCCTTTTGGATCCTTTTGGGAGAATCCCCCATCTGCCCAGCTATTTCCTGCGTGTTGCTGTAGGTTGTGTCAATGTCTTGGTCTTGAATCATCTTGAATCAACCGTTTCCACATGTTTCCACCATTGACTCGCCATATGTCCTCGGCCTCCCGCTCTCCAGCGCCAGCTCTCACCACCCTCCCAGCTCTCCATCCACCCAGCACTCCAGCGCCAGCAGCCTCACTTCTGCGACTTGAAGATCTCGACAAAGAGCTCGAGCAGGTTTGTAGCCTCACGACTTCTACGTAGTGACTGTTTTGTCTTGCAGGGTGTATGTGTGTATTAGTATGAGGAGGGTGCTGCCTGAGAAGAGCAACGTAGAACCTATAGGATTTGAGCCAGCATTGATTTAATAGGTTTTGCCGAGCATCCATTGTTTTTTGCCATGTTATACTATATAAGATACTATAAGGATTTTGGACTACAAGACCCCAGCTCAACCATTTGTTAATAGTCTTGGAAGTCTGGCGTGTTCTTGCAACGAGTCTGTACATCAATTTCCAGGTGTCTTCCACTCTTACCCATTAATTGCATTCATCAAAACCTCTTACCAACTGGAGCGTCTTTTGGAAATTCTGTAACTCCCGTGGGACTGGCGCTTGCAGTCAAAATGCTGAGATCCGGAAAGTGCTGCTGGATTCAGCTGCAAAGTGTCAAGAACATTTCATAATTAGCATGTCTCAGAAGGTACTTAGACCCTCCAAATCTACAAGTACATTACAGCGTCTCCAATCACCTTCTCAAAGGGTATGTGATCCCTATAGAAGTTGATTGGAGATAACATATTTCATCTCTAATCAAACATAGACTCACGACGTTAGGACCATTCCCCGCTGCTTTCAGCATTGTGCACCGATTCACTTAAGTTGGTCGGTTCTGAAAATCAACCACGTCACCGGCACATCATGTAACTGCTCTCTCCTGTCTTCTGCACCATAGCTCTCTCCCCATACTGCATCAGTAGTACTCAAAAAGCTGGCACATATCTAAATATGGTGCATACATGTGCATACTATATGATGAACCCAACAAGATCTCTTTATCCAACATCAACACTTGGTGTCACATCCTCCCGCCAGTTTTGCCTTTCCATCGACCTGGCAGGTACAAAACCCCGGGGTGCCCGGTCCGGTCGACTCGGGGCTCCGTGCTGTCCATGCCCGCATCGCCCACCAGGACCTGGAACTCCACCGACTCCTGCGGGACAACCCGCGGAGCGGTCGTCTGGTGCGAAGTAGCGTAGCTAGAGTCTTTGGATGGTGCTGATGCACTGATCACTGCTTTTTGCAGGCTCCACGTTCAATCTTTGAACGGGGACTGTGTATTTCCCCATACAGGAATGTAGGCAACATGAACTGGACAGAACACCCGAACACACCCCTGTGGCACCAAGGGCCCGGACGGCCGGACAAACCCGACCCCGTTATGAACCGGACAGGGTGACGCCAGGGTCACGCACTGCTCCACACGGCAAAGGTCTCGAACGGCCCGGTGTCAGAGGTGTCTCCTTTCGATGCTGATCCTGAGATGGTGCAGGTGCACAGCCGAGGACGCCAAGGGGCTCTGCAGGTCTAGAGCTCTGCTGTAGTAAGGGAGAAACAGATCTTTTTCCACCATGTTGAATTGTATGTTGTCACTTTTGGGTGCATGTTCAACGTGCTTGAAGTCTGTGGCATTGCTATTTGGTATCTCCCGGAACCGGTGAGGTATCTCAAAGACTGAAAGGCATCTGAATCATTTCTGGAAAAGCCGGTAGAAAGGCGCTTGGGTGACTGGCTTCGACACTGGCTGTGCTGCAGCTTCGGTTCTTGGCTGCTGTTCTTCGGCTGCCAGCATTCTGAGGGGTTTTCTATCCCAAGACCGCCAGTCACTCAGGCGACCTGCCTCCGAGGCGACCGTCTCAGGGAGGCACAAAACAACTCAACGGCGGCCTTGCTGATCTTTTGGAGCAAAGAGATCGAACAAATACCTCCAACTGGCAGGTGTCTGAAAAAAATACTTGTTTATCCTAGCTCTTTCTTCAGGGTATCGCTGTTTCTCTCGAATCTTGGGAAGAACATGAAACAAGTCATTTGGGCATTGAACTAGCAATGCAAACACACCAAACAGAACAACCCCTTAAGAACACCACGATGCCATTCCGAACACCAAACAGCGAAGGATCCCGCCGTTCCGCCCGAAACCGTTCGACCGAACCCAGTAACCAAACCCACCGAGCCGCAGCGATGCTTTGCACCTTCTCGAGCATGCGCTGACGGGAGTGGTGAATCTGCGTGACCAAATCGTTGGAGAACCTCGGTCGACCGGTCCGGTCGACCGCTCGACCGGTTCAAGGAGCGAGCGGAGAAGCGAGCGGTGCATGGGCGCGAAGGAAAGACGTGGTGTCCACGTGGTCCGATGACGTCGGGTTTTTGGGAGAGATACATGAGGTGGGTCAGAACCCGAACGTTCGACTATCCTATTATAGGTACCCCAGGAGGAGTCCTATAAGGTCACTTGACCTCTGTTGGGAAGCAAAAGACGTCCGGAGATCAAGTTCATTTGAGCGGATTTGTGACACACTCCCCTATGGATTTCGACTCTGGTGTCTATGGCGATGAGCCATGATGCAATATAAATTCACCACTGCACTTTGGAGAAAACTGATGCATATGCAGTCGAACACCTTGGCCGGGCATCGAGTTAAACGGTTGAACCATTTAACACCCGCCAGTGTGGCTATCCAAAGGCTAAAGCTGTGATAGAAAAGAATGCTCCTATACTATAATATTAACTTTCGTTTGTGTAGGGTATTATCGTATCACCATGTAATTATTACCCCAAGTCCATTACCTTTACCTGACCAGAGGGAACCTGGAGGAAGTCAATTAAGCTCCTTTACAAAACCTTATTCCCTTTGGACCCTAGCAGATTTAGTGTAAGTGGCGAGAACAGCCTGACAATGAAAGAAGAGTAGACGCCTTGTGGTCTCAAGCTCTGATGACCTGCATTTCACTGCATTCCATGGTGAGTCACTTTTTCTGGGCCGAAAACAGTCGATTCAAGTTCAATTCCAATGACACATGCACTGCAATGAACTATAATAATTAATATATAGTATTAGTAATATATTATGTTTTTGTATGATTATAGACTATATTAGATGTATATTAAAATAGCTTCATGATCAGGTATTGTTTCAAGCAGTTGAACCCTTGAACTTCATCTGGACTTGAAGAAGCAACAAACATGCCACGACATGCCCTTCAAGTTCCACAGCAGAGGGTTTCTTGGTTCAGGTCATGCAGTGAGAACTTCCAATGTTCGCAGCCAGCCTTGGAACCCGAAACACAACCCTGTTGGCCCAGTAGCTCTGGGAAGAGGCCGTCGGGCACCAAATCAGTCGCCATGTTCCTGCGTTGCAGTATTGCTGGGATGGATGGATTTCACTTGAAAGCACAGTGTGGAGTAGATAGATCGGTCATAGAACTGGAGACATGTTCAAACTGTGACCATATTCATGATTTTATCTATCTGCTCCAAGATGACCCAAAACAGAGAGACATGTGAATTGACTCGTTACTGTACTGCAACTATCTGCAACTGTTCTGTATTACTTAGGAACCTCTATGCTGACGAGCAAGAGATCCCAACAGCAAAACTTCATCAAAGAGCTCCAATGTCACAGTTCAACGACTCTGGTTGGGTTTGACAATCCGAGTCTATGGATTAATTGTTATTAATTAAAGCTGAACGCGACACTAGGATATCACGACGGCGAAACTGTATGGTTTGTTCTTGCTCCAGTGTGTGTGTGTGTGTAAAACGTTATCACTTGTCCCATAGAGCAAGTTCGCAGCCGAACCCATGGCTGTGATTCTTGA